GCTCAGTCGTTAAGCGTCTGCCTTTGGCTCAGGTCATGATCCTGGGGTCCTGGGCTCGAGCCCCGCATCGGGCTCCCTGCTCGGCAGGAAGCCTGCTTCTCCCTCTCCCACTCCCCCTGCTTGTGTTCCCTCTCTCGCTGTGTCTCTCTCTGTCAAATAAATCAATAAAATCTTTAAAAAAAAAAAAAAAGAAATAATACTGATGCTTTGCCCAGCTCCCTTGAGATGCCTTAAAAAAAAAAAAAATTAGAAGTAGAGTGAATACTTTTTGACACGTTTATGAGGCCAGCGTTACCCTAATACCAAAGACAAAGACATTATAAGAAAACTATAGATCAATACCTCTCATGAAAAATGATGTAAAAATTCTCAACAAAATAGTAGCAAATTAATTCCATTAATGTATAGGAAGTATTATATACCATGAGCAAGTGAGTTTTATCTCAAGTATGCAAAGATGGTTCAACATTTGAAAATCAATTAATGTAATCCATCATATATCAACAGCTAAAAAAGAAAAATCACATGACTATATCAATAATTGCAGAAAATTATTTAACAAACTTGAACACCCAGTAATGATAAAAGACTATCAGAAAGCTATAAATGGAAACTTCCTCAAATTGATAAAGAATATCTTTTTAAAAAACCTGACAGTACCTAATGGTAGATTAAAGCTTTTCCATTAAGATCAGGAACAAGGCAAGAAAGTCCCTCTTTACAATATTATATTGACAAGATAAGAAAATAAAAGGTATACGGATTGGGAAGGAAGAGATAAAACTGGCTTTGGGTTTGACAAAAGAACTATCATGTCATAAGAACTCCCTCCTTTGGTCCCCCTTTATAAAAACAAGTAAATTTCAGCATCCATCCGTGAACAAAAGTACCTCTGTGAGAGTTGTGGAATCAAGCACTACACACCAAGGGACCTGGGAGGAGTCTTGCCCACTGTGTATCAGGTAATAGGCAGACAGACCTCAGTATGGGCTGTGGAATCAGAAGGAGCCAGCAAAGAGGACTCAGCTCCTCTTATATGCAGTTGGGGAAAACATAGAGAATGCTAATGAGGGCAGACACCCATTGAAAAGAGAGCCTTGCAGAAGTCTTCCCAGGAATAGTTTCCCAAAAATAGATTCCTGCATTCCTTTGAAGCACCCCCTCCCAAAATAAAATAAAATAAGAGTTCAAATGCACTGAAGAGGGTAAGAGTAAGCTGCCAGTGCCATCCCTCCCACAATGGCACATAGTCCAGGGCTGAACTAGCCAGCAGTGACCTCTCCTACAGAAAAAGAGAAAGTGGTGAGGTGCAGGACACAGCTGGAGAAATCCATTTCTCTCCCACAGCACCCAGAGTATTGAGGCAGAAATCACCACAACTGAGGGGAAGGAAGAAATCAGGAAAGTGGCAGATAAGACTATCAAAGGGCATTAAAGGGACGCAGTTCCTGCTATATGCTTTCATTACTCCAGTAGGAAGCCTGCCCACAAGTTGCTGGGAAATCCTCACCCAAAGATCCCCCCTTACCTGATCCAGGGGCACCCACAACACCCCAAGTGCTAAGCCCACAACTTCCCACAATCTGCAGCCTATTCCTTGTGTATGCTCCTGAGTTTGGCAGCAAAAAGCTCTGGTAGACAGGGAATACCCTCAGAAAATCAGGCCAGGGTCCTTGAACAAGGGAGAAATCACAAACTTAAGCTATAGCGCACCTCCTAGAAAACAGAGTTTTCCAGCAGCTGGCTTGGTGCATTGTAAGAAACAGAGAACACATACCAGCTTAAGAATTCTGCCCCAAGAGGGTGCAAGAAATGTGGAGCAAGTATATCTATACAAGGTTGTAGAAAGACCCAGACATAAGTAAGACCAGCAAATATTATCTCCCACCCGCTGACAACTAGTAAAGATTGAAGAAGCTGACTACTTCACATGTGAAAACAGCAACACAAAACTCCAGGGAACATGAAGAATCCTGGAAACATGTTATTACCAAAAAATAACAATAATACTCCAGTAACTGAACTCAAAACACAGAATTTGGCAATTTAGCTGAAAAAGAATTCAACAAAGCTGTTTTGAGGAATTTAACAAAGAGACAGAAATCATAAAAAAGAACCAAACAAATTCTGGAGATACAGAATGTAATAAATGACAAGAAAAAATGCAATAGAGAGCATCTACAGCAGGATAGAAAAACAGAAGACAGAATCATTGATCTAGAGTATAGGAACTTTTAAATAATCCAGTCAGAGCAGAACAAAGAAAAAAGAATGAAAAAGAGTAAAGAAAATAACACGTGATCTAATGGGAAACCATCAAACATATAATTAGAATAATTGGAGTTCCAGAAGAAAGTGAGGAAAAGGGACAGAAAGTCTATTTAAAGAGATAATAGGAGAGGTTCAGGGAAGATGGTAGAGTAGGAGGATCCTGAGCTCACTTCATCCCATAGACACACTGAGACAACAGCTACCTACATGCAACTAACTATGAAAATGACCTGAAAACCGGCAGAACAGATGTTCCACCATAGAGAGGAGACTACATTAAAAAGGGTAGGAGGGGTAGAGATGCCATTGGGAACCAAACCCCCAGTGAGACTAACCTCAAACAGGAGGAACACCCCAAGTACAAAGAAGTGAGAGGATCAGACCCCAGCCTAGGCACCCCAGGCATCCCAGGCACCAGGGACCTGCATTGAGAAGACGAGTCCCCGTAACATCTAGGTTTGAAAACTGGTGGGGCTTAACTTTAGGAGGTTTTAAAATCAGCAGGGTTTAACTTGGGAAAGCTAGAGGATGATAGGAAACTGAGTCCCCACCCTTCAAGAGTCAGCATAATAAATAGCTCGACTTGAGACAGCACAGAAGCAATAGTTTGAAAAGTGCCTGGGGTATACATGAAGAATGTTTATTTACGAATCTCAAAATGTACACTGTATCTTCAGTAGATATCTCCAGGAACACAACTGCTGGTGGGCACCATTTCTCTTCCCCTCCCCCAGCTTAGATAGCTGACACTAGTGGGAGCCAGTGTTTCTCCATCTATCTAGCTAGCACCGCAGGCCGTGTCTCCACACTCTCCAACAGACCTGCCCCATCCAACCTGCATGCTGCAGCAAGCATCTCTCCAAAACAGCTCCTGCCCTGCCTCACCCTGCAAGCAGCCCCAGCAGGGATGAATGCCTCTCCAGAGTGACTTCTGCCCTAGGGAGAGGGGGAGATAACCACACACACCAGCATACAGCTCCAGCCAGGCCTCTTAGCTGACTGCACAGAGAGCAAGCTCTGCCATTTGGCATGCTTGCAACTGTGGCAAAGAAGCTAACTGCAGACGTCTAGTCAGCCTACCAGCCCCACCAACCAACAAAAGCCTCTCAGTTGGCCACATAAGGAGCAAGCCCTGCCATTCAGTGCACCCACAGTTGTAGCACAGAGGCTGATGGTAGGTAGGCACCTAGTCTGATTGCCAACCCTGTCCACCAGTGAACCTGTGGTGACCTCAGACAGGTCTCTCAACAGCACAGGAACCAAACCCTGCTCAGTGAGCCAACAATATTCAAAGGAGGTCATTGCAGCTGGCTGGGCTAAGGCAAACATGGCTCAGCCACAATAGCAGGGTACATGCAGCCCACAAAGAAGGCACATTTAGAGTGCTGGTTCTGGTGACCAGGGGGCATTGTGCTACAGGGCACCACAAAAACTCTTCTACACAAAGCTACCACTTTCAAGACCAGGAGATGTAGCTGACCTCCCTAATACATAAAAACAAACACAGAGAGTTAGACAAAATGAGTAGAAGTGGACTACATCCCAAATGAAAGAATAAGACAAAATCATAGCAAAAGACCTAAGTGAAAAGGTCTTTTGATCTTTGTTCTTTTTTTTTTAAGATTTTATTTATTTATTTGAGAGAGAGAGCATGAGCGGGGGAAGGAGGGAAGCGGGGAGTGGAGGGAAGGTGGCAGAGGGAGAAGCAGACTCCCCGCTGAGCAGGGAGCCCGACACAGGCCTCATCCAGGACTCTGAGATCATGACCTGAGCTGAAGGCAGATGCTTAACTGACTGAGCCACCCAGGTGCCCCCAGCAATTCCAGTCTTTAGAATTTACCCAAATGAGCTGAAAACTTATTCCCATATAAAAAACTACACATGAATGTTTATAGCTGCTTTATTTATAACTCAAAATGTGAAACCACCAAGATATCTATCTTCAGTAGGTGAATGAATAAGTTATGCTACATCCAAACAACAGAATATTAGCACTAAAAAGAAATGAACTATCAAGGCAGGGAAAGACATAAAGGAACTTTAAATGCATATTATTAAGTCTGAGGAATCAGTCTGAAGAGGCTATACACTATACAATTCCAACTATATGGCATTCTGGAAAAAGCAAAACTATGGAGACACTTAAAAGATTGATAGTTATCAGGAGTAGGAGGGATAGAGGGATGAGCAGGCAGAGCACAGATTTTTAGGGCTACGGAACTACTCTGTATGATACCATTAACGAGGGATACCTGCCATTATAAATTTGTCCAAATGCATAAAACAAACAACACCAAGAGCACACCCTGTGTAAACTATGGACTTTGAGTGATAATGGTGTTTTTGTAGGTTTATGATTGTAACCAATGTACCACTCTGGTGGAGAATGTTGACGGTGAGAGAGGCTGTATGTATTGGAGTTAGGAGGTATATCGAAATCTTTGTACTTTTTTCTCAATTTTGCTATGAACTTAAAATGGCTAAAAAATAGTATATTTAAAAAGGAGGATAAAACCAATAGTTTTCCCTCACTGCATATATTCACAGACACACAAATTATGGCATAATTATATTCCCTTAATGAACAGGTGAATGTATTCATTGAACACCTCTGAAAAGTAGCCGTCTATAAGAATAAATCTGTTAAGGTCAACAACAATTTAATTCTATACAATGTTCTCTAATACTACTTTTGGTTACCACATTGAAGCGAGATACAATATAGACTCTCAAATAAAAGAAACATGATAAATGTTGAGTAAATTAAATGATGCTATAAAGTGTCCAAGATAGATGTCATTTGGGGAAACATAAATTTTGTGCTTACTTACTCCATGTCCTCTGCACTGCTGTGAACAAAGCTTTGAATAATCCATAAGGATCCTTGATTCTACACATTCACGATTTATACATACCTAAAAAAAGAAAAAATACAAAAAACTTTTTCCACGTTACAGGAGTCCAACTGTCTTAACATTACAATCAGTAATTTTATACCATAAGACCATAACCATTCAATGTAATACATTTCCATCTAAGTATGCTTTTGCTATAACTGTGAATTTTTATATGTTGTATTTTTATTTTCATTTAGTTCAAAATATTTTTCAATTTCTCTTAAAAGGTCTCCTTTAGCACATGTGTTATTTAAAAATGTTTGTTTAATCTCCAAGTATTTGGGGATTTTTCAGATAAGTCTAATGTAAAATACGGATGGGATGATAATGATGTGTCAATGTAGGTTCATCAGTTGTAACAAATGTCCCACTCTGGTGGGGGATTGTTGATAATGGGGGAGACTACGCTTGTGTGGGAACAAGGGAGTATATGGGAATTCTGTACCTTCCTCTCATTTTTGCTGTGAACCTAAAAAATAGTCATAAAAAAATAATTCAGTGTAGGGAAATGGGAGATACAAATAAAACAAGACCAACAAAAATATCATATCCATATAACCACTTTTTATTATAATATCCTGAAATCTAACAAAACTATCCCTAAGAGCACAGTAATCTTTCGATTTGTATTTGTTTTTGTTTCATATATCAAAAGTTTGTATTGAAAGAAAAACAGAAAGAAAATCAGTTCAATATAATCAAGACATATATTAAGTTTTAATCAAATTTGAGCGATTATTAGAGTCCCCTAATAAAGATAATAGGAATCTTTATTAAAATATGCCATACATATCCCAACTCCAATATTTACAGCAATATCAACTTTTCTAAGTTGCAGTTCTCTTACATGAGTACCATCATGCTTTTTCTAAAGAATTTGAGATTTTTGAGGTTAAAATGAAATATTGTATGTGAAAATGATTTCCTTTTAAACTTATAGCACAGCACAACTCTCTTCAAAGAAATGGCCTCACAAACCCCTTTCAAATTCCAAACTAAACCTTTTAAACCTTTACTGTGTGTGTTGAGTTTTCTCATTAGTTCTTGGCCATGGTGGGTGTGTCTAACAACTCCTTTTCGAATGTAGTATTTATTGTCTGGTTGCCTCAGTTGAAACTGAAATGAAGAGTCCTGTTATATAAGGATGCTACTAACAAAAAAAAAATTGCCAAGAATGTTTCATCATATGTGATTTATAATATCATTAAAAACTACCTCGTAAAATGGGTTCTCTTGCTTATATCACTGAGGATTGTCCATGTTATAAAAAGAATTCTATTCTTACTAAATTATCAACTGAATATCCAATCATCTGTTGACTAGTTTCCATTTTTTAGTTGTTTTGGCTCCCTGGCCTAAATATATCTACTGAACTCCTTGGTATATACCTCCATTAAGGAGGCATTTATGACTCCAAGGCATGAAGAGAAAGTCAATATTAAGAAGACTACATACTGTGCTCATTCCGGCAGCACATATACTGACTATATACTGTACCTACAGTAAACTTCATTGAATTATAAAACAACCAGAAGTGGCTATTAACATATATATTTCACATGTTAATTTGTTCAAAATCATCTATTAAGTGGAAACATCAGAATATAGATGCATGCACATCTTACTCTTTAATGCCTACAGCATATACTATATTATGGTTCCTCATAAGCAAAGATCTGGTCAGGAATTAAATGACATTTTGAAGTAAATTTATTTCTTCTATGTTTTCTCCAGATTTGGGTTAGCCTCAGAGATAATGAATTATAATAATCAATAATAATAGCCTATCTATATTTAGCTCTCATCATGTGCCAGGTATCATACTAAGCACCTTACAGTTATTTCATTTAATTTTTGCAATAACCCCATTGAGTAAATGCTATTATTATCCCCATTTTACATACAGTTGTAGTATCTCAGACTGGTTATGTAACTTGCAAAATGTCAAAAAAAATCAGTTTTGAAGATTTGATTCTAAGAAGCCTGATCTAAGTTGTGCTCTTATCTACTGGACTACAAAGAGACATATATTACTAAGCGGGATTTCTTTCTTCTCTAAGGAGGAAAGTGAATTTCCATGCTATGGAGTACTTAATACATTACCAAGATCTCTCCCCTCCACACTCCAGCCCCAAAATACTTGGAATTTCCTTGGTCATAATACTGAAATTCTGAAGAAGACCAAACATTCCTATTGCCCTCAATATCTGGAGACAAAATGAAGCTTATTCATTTTCTTCTTATCTAAATATTTAAAGTTACATAGCACTAGAAATGAACTGAAATTTGATACTTAAATTAAAATATTAAGAAATGAATAAAACTAGATTAAAAAAACAGATTTTAAATCATTTACCCTCCCTATATCACAAGGAGAGCCACTTAAGACTACCATTGGATCTTCTTGTGATTGAGCCGATTTGTAGAATACAGATACACATAAATCATTTCGTACAAAAGCATAAATCACAGCACCATTTTCTCTGTAAAAAGGAATTCGAGTAGGATAAGTACAAACTAATCTTCCACATTGAAGATTCCTGCAAACATAATAAAATTATGATTATTACACATTAGGCATTTATTAGGAATGCTTCAGATTTGCTTTTTCTTTGAACAAAAAAAAAAAAAGAACGGTTCTTCATTTATGTCAAATGTTACTAGGGAAAATGTAATATTTTAACACTAACATTTAAAGTAAATGTTCTTGTAAGCTGATAAGCTTATCTTTCAATGGCTCTAGTGGTCTTTTATTTTCCCTGTGCAGATTTATATACTTATTTTCAAATAATCAATTCACTCAAGTATTTCATATCCCTCTGTAGAGGGATAGAAAGATAAATAAGTTGTGACAACTACCCTCACGGACCTTACAGTTTAATACTAAATGTAATATAAATCCCATTAAAAGTGCTACAAATAATTCTTACAGAGATTTAAGATGAGGACACATTTTAACTTAACAATTAAGGGAAACTTCATGGAAAAGATGCCATCTGAGTCAAAGCTTACTAATTAGTAGAATTTCAATAGGCAGAGAGTAAGGTATTACCAAACAAAGTAACAGCATAACAAACCAAGGAAACAAAACTACGTGGCGTGTTCAAATTCCGTAAGTACAAAGGCCATGTATGCTTTGCTAACAAGTAGCTAGCCCAGTGTCCAGCACATAGTAGCTTCTTAATAAATGTTTGTTAAAATGAATTCATGACCAAAATATCAAAGAGCTTGTTCTTCAGATGCAGGAGAAATTTAATTTCATTTTATAGACACTGGGCAGTCTTCAGCTTGGGCAAGCAATGAAGTGAATGGGGATAGTGTTTTTATAAGGAAAAATGTGCAGGTTCAAATAGGAAAGGCATAATGGATATCATTACTTTCAATCTTGGATTGAATTTAGAAGCCTAATGATCACTCACATACAAATGTATAAAAATTAGACAGAAATTTAAGCCTGTAGCACAAAAAGATGTCAGGGCTACAGAATTTGATTTAAGATTCACTCCCATACACATGTGATACTTGAAACCACTGGAATGAATGACATATATAGAGAAAAACTAAAAATAGAATCTTATAGAACATAAGAAAAGTATCTTTAATACTTGCATAGCATACCTCCATAGACAGTATTGATAACTGCCTCTTTTATGACCACAGTTCCCAAACCTATCACCTTGAGAGTGTACTTCTTCATAGCAGGCAAATGGTGCATTTTTTGAACCTGCCAACATTAGAAATATATTTGGATTAAAACTCCCTTCCTTTTTCATCTTAGTCCATTCCCTCATATATTATATGTTTGCTTTGCCTTCTCTACTAGTATCTAATTCAGAAATTTTCCTAGTGAGATTTTAAGAAAAGAGAATTAAAGTGATAAACAGTGCTCATGGTTATAACTCTTTTTGTTTCATTTTTGGTCATTTCCATCACAAAAGATATCACGAGGGGTAAGGAGAGTTATAGAAGCATAAACCATGAGAGTGCTCTGTGAAACAAGGCAATAGAGAGAGAATCCAAGAAAACTATACTTGCTTTCCTAGATTACAAGTAGGAATTCATAAAAAAGCCAGGTCTATAACAAAATTTCATTGAAGAAACCTAACTGTATCTTCAGGAAGTCTAAAATGAAGGGAGCAAAACTGCCAAACTATTAACTATTTTTTTCCTTCATTACTATATTTGGTTTCCATCACTGTGTAAAAAATTACCAAAATCTTGGGAACTTAAAACAACACCGATTTATAATATCACACAAGTGAGTTCTCTTTTTACTCAAGAGTCTCCTAAGACCAAATAAAGTTGTTGGCTGGGGCTGTACTCCCATCAGAGGCAAAAGTCCTCTTGTGAGCTCAGTGGTTGTTGGTAGAATTCAAGTTTTTTTATAGCCATACATTCCTTTTCTTATTATCTGCCAGGGGTCACTTTTGGCTCCTAGGAATTCCCCTCACATCCTAGTCACATGGCCTTCTCACAACATGACAGTTTATTTCTTCCAAGCCAGCAAGAGACTCTCTCTGACATCTCCCATCTTTTAAAGGACTCACATGATTAGGTCAGGTGCACTCAAAATGATCTCCCTTTTGATTAACTCAAAGCTCACTAATTATGGACCTTAATTTCACCTTCAAAATTCCTTTATCTTTACTATATACTATAATCACAGGAATGATATTCCATCACATATTCACTGGTCCTGCTCCCTCAAAGGGAGGGGATTATCCAAATCCTGTACACTAGGAGAATCCTGAATTTGCATGGAACCACAAAAGACCCCAAATAACCAAAGCAATCTTGAAAAAGAAAAGCAAAGCTGAAGGCATCACAATTCTGGACTTCAAGTTATATTACAAAACTGTAGTGATCAAAACAGTATGGTAAAACTGGCACAAAAATAGATACATAGATCAATGGAACAGAATAGAAACCCAGAAATGAACCCACAACTATATGGTCAATTAATTAATCTTTGACAAATCAGGAAAGAATACCCATAGGAAAAAGACATTCTCTTGAACAAATGGTGCTAGGAAAACTGGATAGCAACATGGAAAGAATGAAACTAGACCACTTTCTTACACCATACACAAAAATAAATTCAAAATGGATGAAAGATCTAAAGGTGAGACGTGGATTCATGAAAATCCTAGGGAAGAATACAGTCAGTAATCTCTTTGACATCAGCTGTAGCAATTTCTTTCTAGATATGTCCCCTGAAGGAAGGGAAACAAAGGCAAAAATAAACCATTGGGGCTACATCAAAATAAAAAGCTTCTGCACAGTGAAGGAAACAATCAATAAAACTAAAAGGCAACCTATGGAATGTGAGAAAATATTTGCAAATGGCATATGTGATAAAGGGGTAGTATCCAAAATAAAGAACTTGTCACACTCAACACCCAAAATAATCCAATTAAAATGGGCAGAAGACATGAACAGACATTTTTCCAAAAAAGACATAGAGATGGCCAACGGACACATGAAAATATGCTCAACATCACTCATCATCAGCGAAATACAAATCAAAACTAAAATGGGATATCACCTCTCACCTGTCAGAATGGCTAAAATTAATAACAGGAAATAACAAATGTTGGCAAGGATGTGTAGAAAGGGGAACCCTCTTGCACTGTTGGTGGGAATACAAACTGGTGCAGCCATTCTGGAAAACAGTATGGAGGTTCCTAAAAAAGTTAAAAATAGAACAATCCTAAGATCCAGCAATTACACTACTAGGTATTTACCCAAAAGCTACAAAAATACCGATTCAAAGGGACACATGCACCCTGATGTTTATAGCAGCATTATCTATAACAGCCAAATTATGGAAAGAACCCAAATGTCCACTGACTGATGAAAGGATAAAGAAGATGTGGTATACATATATAATGGAATATTACTCAGCCGTAAAAAAGAATGAGATCTTGGGGCACCTGGGTGGTTCAGTCTTTAAGCGTTTGCCTTCAGCTCAGGGCATGATCCCAGGGTCCTGTGATCGAGCCCCGCATCAGGGTCCTTGCTTCTCCCTCTCCCTCTCCCTCTGCCCCTCCCCCTGCTTGTGTGCTCTCTCTCAAAAATAAATAAATAAATAAATAAATAGGAATGAGATCTTGTCATCTGCAATGACATGGCTGGAGCTAGAGAATATTATGCTAAGCAAAATCAGAGAAAGACTAATACCATGTGATTTCACTCATATGTGGAATTTAAGAAACAAAATAAATGAGCAAAGGGGGAAAGAGAGACAAACCAAGAAATGGATCCTTAACGATAGAGAACAAACCGATGGTTACCAGAAGGGAGGTGAGTGGAAGCATGAGTTAAATAGGTGATGGGGATTAAGGAGTGCACTTGTGATGAGCATTGTGTGTTGTATGGAAGTGTTGAATCACTATATTGTACACCTGAAGCTAATATTACACTGTATGTTAACTAAATGTAATTTAAACAAAAACTTAAAGAAAAAAAAGAATTCTGCCTAGTACAGTTACCTTCTTTAAAATGGAACTTCCTAAATACAGCTGCCTCATCTATAAAAGAAACAATATCTACCTCAGTGGATTGTTAGGAGAATTAAGATGATGTTTATTTAGCCACTGTGAATTCCCATCTAATCCTTCCCCATTTTCTTTTATGATCAAGGGGGTTTTTCTTGTTTACCTGCTCCTTTCATTAATTACATTTCCTCCCACATTCTTTTTCTTCCTTTACCATTTCCTAATTCTCTTTTCACCATTTTTAAAAACTGGTCCATCAAAGGTGACTGTATAGATACCATTAGGAAAGGTGATGTTATTTCTAAGTATTCACAATGTTTAATCAGTTCACTTGAAAATCTGAGATACCAGGTTAGGAATGTCAATTCAGGGCTTGTTAAACACCAAGATATTATTCAAGAAAAGTCAGAAATTGGATAATTCAGTCCCGTTTAGAGATAATATAAAAACTGTATTTAGTCTCAGAGTAACTTAAAATGGTTCAACTTAACAATTTTTCAAATTTATGGTGGTGTAAAAGCAATATACACTCAGTAGAAACTGTACCTCGGAATTTGAATTCTAATCTTTTCCTGGGCTAAGTGGTAGGATAGTCACTTGTGATGCTGGGCAGCAGCAGCAAGCCACAGTTCCCAGTCAGCCATACGATCTGAAGTGTAAACAACCAATACACTTACAACCATTCTGTAGCCATATAACAATTCTATTTTTATAGTATTCAAAAAATTACATGAGATATTCAACACTTTATTGCAAAATAGGCTTTGTGTTAGGTGATTTTGCCCTATTAGAGGCTACTTAAGTGTTCTTTCTGAGCATCTCTAAGGGAGGGTAGGCTAAGTTATGATATTCAGTAGGGTAAATGTATTAAATGCATGGTTTATCAAGATATAACACCATCATAAGTTGAGAAATATCTGTAGTCAGGTGAATTCTGTTGAAAGTGATGTTCTTCATCTAGCCTATTTTTTTTATTAGTCCATCTATTGCATCTAAAGTTACCAATGAACTTTATTATTATAATTTCTCTCTTGAATACCCTCTTTCATTAGTGTTAGGGACTTTCTCTCAGATCAGTGTGGGTTTTCCAGGGTGAGATAGAAACACTAAAAGGGCAACACTTTGCAAATGTGAAGTCACATGTGAAAATGTTCCCTTGTATCCAGTATACTGACCAAATCTACTAAGAGAATCTGTCCTTCCATAGTCCAAATAGTGTACTTAGGTTCCCTGTATCCTATTATCAAATGCCATGAGGTACAATTAAATAGTGAATGCACTGGCATAGATACTGGTGCATGGCTGGTACTAGGGCAGTAAATGTGAATGTTGGAAAATTATTGTAAATAATTTAGGCAATCCTCATAAATAGCATTGAGCATTAGGAAGTTTGAGGCTATACTCTTTGACAACTATTAGAGACTACTAGCTTGTTTCCATTTGGATGGCCACCCATCTCAACTAGAATACACAGAGCCACTGAAATGTTAGCTAAAATTTTAGCTCTCATAACCTGACATCTGACTCAACTTCATCTTGTGACTAACAGGCATTTACAGTTTAACATACCCTAAAACCAAATTCTGATTTACCCCTAGACTTCCTTGTTTCAGTTTTTAGGACCATTAGTCAACCAGATGTTCAGGCCAAAGCAGAAATCATCCTTGATTTCTTTATTCTCCTCACTACCTGCCTCTACCACCTAATCCAAGTCTTACTAACACTATTTCCTAAATACAGCCAGAGTATGATCACTTCTTACCTTCTCAGTGGCTACAAGTCTAGGCTGAGCTTTCATCAATTTATCTTCTAATATTCTATAAAAGCCTTCTAATTGACTCCCTACTTCCATTCCCTACTCCCTATAGTATTCTGCATACCACAAATCAGAGTGATTTTTTTCAAATATAAAAATCATGTATCAGTCTCTGACTTAAATATCTTGAATGGCTTCCTATTTACACCAAGGATAAAATCTAATTTTCTTACCATCATCTTTACTCAGCTTGGTTCATCACAATTCAGCAACACTGTCCTTCTTTTTATGTTTACCACCTGAACCCTTCACTGGACTATAACCTCCATAACAACAGAAATCTTTTTTTTGTCCTGTACATCACTGAGTTTCCAGTGCTAGAAGAGTAGTGCCATGCCCAATTAAGGTGTTAGATAAATATTTATTGAGTGAATGAAAAAATCAACACCTTGAGTAACTATATCCCATAAT